TCTGTGACCTTCAACATACACAGCTGGCCTACAAAAAACGTTTCTCTATTTCTCTGAAGCACTTCACCACACAGATACCAAGTAAAGCACAGAAATACATATTTGAATAGACTGCCTTTCCTCTTTTCAAACTGATTTCAATTCAAGCTGAAAGTTCTGCCTGCAAGAATGGTTTCCAGCTGACACACAGTAAAAACATGACTGTTGTAATTGGTCTTCCCAGCAGAGCTCACCATAACTTTAACAAAAAAACTGTATGATTTTCAAAATGTGATTTTTGAAAACTTTATTTGCAAATATGTGAGGGTATTATTCATAAAATATTATTGTCAAATGTTTTAACCATCATGGAGATACCAGTGGAAGTCCACAGACTCCCATTTGGAGCAAATACGTACCTTCTACCTTCCTACTTTAAAAGACATTAAAAATATATTCTTATATAGAGTAGATCCAACTTTATTAAAAAGTCGGATGGTATTATGACCACATCTCTTCACAGAAAGAAGAACATTTTTCAGCCAGCAACGACTAGTAATTAAAGGCTATTTTTATAGAGTACAGTAGAACAGTAAATCCATCCAAAAGTCATATCACTTTCACAGAAATAAATATGTAGGTTTGGAATAACGCTACAGAGCAATGTATTAAAATACGCTGCCAGACGTTTCACCACAAAACTGGTTGTTCATGCATAGGTGTAAAGAGCAAAAAATATTGAATTTTAAGTAATTTTTAGTAATATTTACTAACTAATTGATCAAATTTCCCCCTTTTTTTTCAGTTCCTATGGAGATGACCTTCAGAATGGTGTTTTATGTATTTTATTCAGAAAGCTATTTACATATATTCCATCCTTTCTAAAGTACAAATGATAATACCTAATAACCACAGTGTTATTTACAAGAATTAATCAATTATTGCAAAACAATTTGAAAAAGATAATCCTAGCAATTGCAGTGTTTTCATTAACAACTTGAGTTAATACCAGCAAAAATAACTTTTGTCTTATAGAATCAATCATCTGTTGTCTTACATGACATTAAATGTCTAACGTTTACGCAAAAAATTAAATTTGGTTCATTTGAACATTTGTTAAGCGGCTTAGTCTCCATTCGACTTACCATAGGACAACTGTGCAGCACAGACAAATACAGTTTCTTTTTGGCTTATAGTTATGAAGCCTTTGCTTTTCTGAAAAAAAAAAAAAAAAAAAAAAAAAGTAATTAAAATTAATATTAAAAAATAGAGAAGACCTAAAGCAAACTATTTTGTTTTATTTTAATTTTATTTTATTTATAATTTTATCAGCAACCATACATGACATACTTACATATTTTCTGGGACATTATAACAAACAATTAATTTTAATGTTATTAAGAGGGGGTCAGTTTTTGTCCACACTTCACAACAGGCAAAAAAAAACTGACCACAACCTAGTGATCTGGAGGAAAGAGGAAATTCTGAATCCAGTATATACTGAGCTTTATATATATATATATATATAGTATATATATACATGTACATACACACACACACACGTATATACAGAGCTTTAAAATATTTCGCGTTTTCAATAATTAAATTCAATTCCAACTTTAGGGATGATAAGCTCTGTTCAGAATGCGACCCTGTGACAATCGCTTTTTGAAGTTTTCAAAAGAATCAGAATTGCTTTTTCAGAAAAGACTGATAATAAGTGGCTTCAGAGTCAAGTATTCATTCAGCTGCTGCTAAAAAACATTACTGGAGATGAACGATTTCCAGCCATTTCAGGAAGACCTCACTCAGGTCACCTCCTCACACCATCCACATGATGCCAGCTAATTAGACTCATTAACTCTTAGCCCCCTGCCCCAGGAGAAGCCTGGAACCCAGCCTTTTTTGGGACATCTTACTGCTGACCAGAGAAGAGGAAACGAAGAGTGAGTTCAAGTAGGCGAGAGAAGGTTTCTATGGCTACATTTCACCTTCCCCAGCTGCCTGCTGCCACTTCCTTGTGGCACTGTGGGTTCCCTGAAATATCAGCTCCAGAGGGACACACGCATCACGTCATGTCATACATTCTTTTATTGCTTGCACAGTAAGTCTGACTTGTGATGTGGATGAACCTCTGCAAGGAGGCTGACATCACTTGTTGGAAACCACTGCTCTAGATCAAGAATGACAAACTTGTGTTGGAGACTTGGCACTGGAACACCTGACATCTTTAAAAATAGAAAGCTCATGAATCTTTAGGTCTTGAGTTAGTGAAGCAAGTGATTGTGGCAGTATGTTATCACGGTAGAGGGGCTGTTTAGAGCTTTGCTCACCAGCTGAAAATCAGAAGTATTAAGCAATGTTGTTAATAGATAGTATCACTTACAATTCTCCCCTAAGAAAGAAGATTCTGGAAAGATTTGCTGGAGCATGTCAAAGTTTTCACTTGTCATTTGGAAACTGAGCATTAAAAAATAAAATAAAAATATTAAAAAAACTTGGTTTAGTATCTAAAATTAACTGGCAGAAACAACCTCACTATTTTTTTGCACATATACCTGAATCATAGAAAGCTACCCATAAAAGACAACGACGTTTATGTCAAGACAATGATGACTGTGTGGTCAGATAAGTATCACTGAGTGCTGGATGCCTAAGCTGTGCATGCAAACGCAGGTCAGCACAGTGCGCATTTGCTCGCAACTATATTCACTGATATGACATCTCATACAGCTGTCACAAGGCAACGTATCGTGATATAATACTATCTGACGCTGCAGCCCACTTCTCAGAAAACCTACCTGACTGCATTAATTTTGTCTTCTCATTTAGATGGAGTTTAAATAAGGGGGAAAATCTTATTAAAGTTCAAATTAAATACTTGATTCCCTATCTTTCAGCAAAATAGAGTTTGGTAAGTGTATTGTCTTTAATCGCTTTTATCTTTACATAAAGAACTATGGCGTCACAAGTTGCAGAAAACTCACAAGCAGTTATAGCAATGACTCATGTAAACTTCCAAATATATAGCTGAAACGGAGTTTGTTCTAACTGACTTTAATGAAGAGCCATGATAAATGCAATATACTTCTAAATTCTCTTTCTTTCCAGGAGGTGGCCCTTACTATGGAAGGAAGTTTGAGGGTTAATTCTTCTGTTAACCCTACCTGTAATTGATCTCCATTTTGCATCATAGACCCCAATTTCTTAAGTTTCATTAGTTGCTTTAAGACTGCAATTGCTCTATTTTCCATTATTCAACCTAACTCTTGAGCAAGTTTATTACCACAAGAGAACTGCCAATTCTTAGCTATCTGCCCAATGATTCCACATTTAAGGAATCTCCAGCAAATGGGAGATGTCAAACGGTTTACTGTGAAAGTCTGTAGTAGGTAAATGGGAACAGTTCTGTGGCAGAACACAAAACACCTCTGGAAAGGGCCAGTTTTTCTGTAGTGCTGCATAATCGCTACCATGAATTTGCACAGTAATAAACCACAAAAGGGAAGGCAGCAGCAGGGACACCAGCCAAATGAATTCCCTTGAACCAAAGAGGAACAAACAAACAAACCCACCCCACAACTATAATTCATATTGCGTTTCTCACCAGCATTTGAAAATTCTACCTGAAATCTGATTAAGGATCTCCATGAGGCAAATGCATTGGTTAGGGAGTTGCAGAGTGAATACCACAAAAGAAATGCATTCTAAATAAAAGTATGTTTCCCATAAGCAAAAAGTGATTTTTTTATTTCAAAATTAAACTAGCAATTTCATCTCTGATGTGGACAGCAATTTCATCTCTGATGTGGTTAAAACCAGTGAAATTACCCTTGCGATTTATGCAAAGTACATCTCTCCAGAGGGAGGAACAAGTTCCCTGATTACACCGTGTGAGAAAACACAGCAGACCAGTGCCTGAAAACGTTTTCTGTGAAGTGTGTCCCCTACAGTGGCTCCAGGAACACCTGCCAGGCCCCCAGGCTGAAACCACGGCTCTGAAGGGTTACACGAAACCTCAGGGCAGAGCCAGAGCGGGGCGCGGGCGGGCTCCAGGCCTGGAGGTGCCCCCAGTACCTCCCCCGCCGTTTTTGTTTTGTTTTGTCCTGTTTTGTTTAACCCCCGAGCAGCAGTTCGGCTTGACGACAAAGCATCCAAGCGGTGCAGCGTTTACCTGGCAACCCCAGCGCTTGGCCCAGGGAGGCCGCCTCGGGGCGTTTAGAGCCGAGGCAGGGCTCTGCAGAGCACTGCGAGGAGCTGCCTGAGGGCTCGGGGTAGCGGCACCTCAGGCCGGCGGGCCCCAGGGCGCGTCCCCGCAGGAACATCTGAGGAGAGGCAGGGGAAGAGGCCGGTAACGAGCAGCCGCCGCCACCAAAAGCGAAAAGCGCCCGGCCCTGCCCTGCCCTGCCCTGCCCTGCCCGAGGGGCCGGAGCGCAGCGGATCCGGGCTCTGTGAGGGAGGCTCTGTGCGGGGGCCGCGCCCAGCGCTGAGGAGAAAGGGCGGGAAAGAGGCGGCGCTGCGGCCGCGCCTCGGGGCCTGCGGGGTGCCCGCTGCCGGAGCCCGGCCCGGCCCTGCCCAGCGGCGGAGCCGCCCCTGGTGGTCGCCCTGCAGGCCCCCAGCGGGGCCGGGTCCTCTCCCCTGTGAGGGACGGAGCCCCGCAGCGGGTGGGGGCCGGGGCGACAGGGCGGTCAAATAGATTTGGAAGGGAAGTGCTTACAAAGGGGAGCTGTGGCCCCTGTTTTACACATTTGTTTAGCCATGGCCTGAGTTCAAGTACACTTACCCGTGCAAAACGACTTACAAACTAAGACACACACTTGCGCCTTCCTTGTATTTTATTGGTTCAAAGCATAAACGCGGGTTTTACAGTCAGTGCATTGCAGGTGAAGAAGCTTAGAAGCAGTACGCAGTAGCATGAGACTTTAAACTCATGGATAAAAGGTGCTTAGACTTCGGGAGAATGTGTCATCCTTCATCTAGAACACATACCAGAACTAGTTAGTTGCTATGGTGCCTGGAGGAAAAAAAAAAAAAAAAAGGAAAAGTAACCCTAGAGATTTGAAAACAGTCTTGAAAATAAACATTCAACTTTTCCTTTTAAAAAAATGTATTAACATAGCTACAAGTAAACCATAAATAATTGGCTAAATATTGTTTTCTTTAGAGATGAGCTTCGAGATGAGCACATTGCCAGTGGTACATGAAATGGTGCTGAAAACTGTCTCCAGTCATGAACGTAGCAGTTGAGAAAGGTGCCAGCGTAGCAGTTCTTGAGTTTGCCATTTTCTGTCACGAGGTAAGTACATTTACAGCAGTGTAATCTTTTCTATGCTGTTTCACAAAAGGTGTCTAATCAAGTCAGAAAAGTTGGTGGCCACAGTGACACTTTCCCCAAAAAATTAAAAGCAATTTTGAAACAAGTTCATCTATCACTAATATCTTTTACTACCTCAGTCTCAGAGACCACTGCCAAATGAAAGGCCTGGGGATTCCAGTTACTGCTGTGTATTTTGGACACCCCTTTGGAACAGTGCCACAAGTTCTAACTGCAGAAAGTCATCTCAGTCATCTCCTCAAGCAAGATGTTTAATACTAAGTAAGAGTGAAATGCTGAACAATTACTGAGTTTGTACATAATTTTTACAGAATTGAAGTCAATGCAACATATCCAATATTAGTGTTTTTTGCTCATTTTCCACAATTCATTAAACGTGTTAATTCCTCGGATGAGGGAAATGCTTATATCCTGCTTAAAATTTAAAACTGTTTTTCAGACTGAAGGAATAATATGCACTAAGCATTTGCTCAGAGGATATGTTAACTCTAATTCATACCAGAAGTTTAATGCTCATGTGCTCTGAAGACAGAGTAAAAAATAAAAATGAAGAAACAATGAAATATCCTAGAACATTAAAAATTCTCTGCATACTTCCATGACCTTTCTTTAAACCACTAGATGGCAAGAATATTATGCAACATAAAAGCTTTATGTATGCATCCAATGATTATAAATAATTTCTTTAAAAAGGAGTCTAATATTATATTGTGTTGATGACCTTGATATAACTCAGGAAATCTGAAGAGCCACTAGTCAACTAAGTTAGAAAAAAGCAATTTACTGAATTATAAAAACTGGATAGGTTCTACATGTATACCAACAACTTGCCCCTAGTCTGTAAGTGTGCTAGAACTACTTTTATGGTAACTCCTAGTCTACAATCAAAAATAGATGCAGGAACTGTAATAAATCACCAGTTTTGTGCAGTGTAAGTATGCTTGATATTTCCCTTTAACAGGTGGAGAACACAAATCTATATTAAATGTTACTGAGATGTAGATGCATGCCACTGATTTCTGTGAGAACTGAAGGACTCACAGAAGTAATTTTAGGACTGCCAAGTATCTAGAACCAGTTCAGATAAAGAGGATTTGCAAGACAGTGTTTGAACAGTTTGTCCTAAAAAAGCAAAACTTGTCTACCAGAAGCAGTCTGATTAAAGAAAACAAAGTAAGGATAGGCATCTACAGCTTGCTCTTATTGGAGGTAAAAAGATGTGATACATCCTTTCAGCTAAATGAAGTTTACTACAGGAACATGTAAAAAGCAAAAATTTTAGAAGCTACTTGTAATCCATGGTGAAGTACTACTCCTATATATTTCGGTGTGCCCAATTGGGCATCTCAACCATTAATCAACTTTGGTCTTGAGTAGACAAAACCATTCTTTCCTTAACTTCTCTAAATTTTCATACCAATTGTGACTTCCTTCCAAACCACACTAATTTACAAGTCAAGAACTATTGTGAATATAATTGCAAACATTTCTGTTAAATCCCTCTCTATATGGTTTTGAATGAAGCTGGACAAACAATATTTAATGTATTAATGACATTTGCGCCTCAGGTTACTTAAAAGTAAGATCTTACCTTCTACAAAAAAAAAAAAAAAAAAAAAAGATTTAACAGCTTAAGTGACTACATAATTCTTAGTCAAACTGGAGACTGTTTCTCAAGGTATCTTTGCTGGTGCTGCTCAGGAGGTACTTGGGAAGTAACTTTACATGACACACTGGAAAAAATTGTTCATTATGAAGCATGCATAAGGTCATTGAAATAATAGATTTAATTTCTATGAAAAGTGATCACTACAGGAATAAGGGACATTTCAGATACACTTGAAGAACAGAAGTTTAGGTATAAGGAAAGCCATACAAAAAATACCTGTGGTTTAACACTGAAGTTAAACACAGCTTTACATATACAACTCAGCTGGACACCTTTCCACAACAGATATGTTGAAAATAGAGTGGAAATGACAACCATCTAAAAACTACGTGGAATATTTCATACAAAATACTCCAAATAACTTTTAATTATTTAACTTTTATTTGAGACATGTTATTGTAAAAAAAAAATTCACATGGAATAATAAAACCATTGGAATTTGAAGTGTGTTTTTTTTTTTTTTTGGAGAGGGAAGGATTATTTTTTTCATCTATACACGTCAAAACACAATTAATGATTAGGCTTACAGGTTAATCACATGACAAGATCACTTTATCTGCAGGAGCTTTTCACATTACACCTTTGACCAAAGATAAAAATGTGCTTAAACACACACAGTAGAACAATTCTATTTCAAAATTAAGCATTTTCTCAAGGGCTATACTTTCTAGTCTGAATTTAGTAGCTACATTGCATTAAAATAACTGTAATTGAAGTTTTATTTGCAAAAATGTTTGTAAGGCCATAGGAATGCACTAAAATACTTAAATTTGCCAGAAACAAGAAAAATCAATGGAAATCCTGCTTTTGTGGAAGAGAGAAATACAAATTTTATTTATAAGAATGAGAATGGCATAAGCAGTTCAGTGAATGGAGAAAAAAAAAATCTATCACCTACAGACCAATCAATCCTCAACGTTGCAAAATTTCAGTTACATTAATATATAACCAAATAACAGGTGTATTTCCACAAATAACATTTATGCATTTTACATATCATTCATGTACTTTCAAATCATTATCCATTCACAATATTTTAATGCAATAAGTATATTCAAGACTCCTTTCACTTGTGAAAATGACTTAATTCAACTTCAGCAGACTAGAATGGGAAATGTACTTACAATGGAAAATACTTAATGAAAAAACAAAAATAAAAACCAACAAACAACACCCTACAACTACAAGTCTGAAACGTCAATTAGCATTTTTGAGACTGTCCCCCAAGTAGAAAAGTCAGCTATGTTGGGTTTTAAGAGTGGTTTAAGCAATTACAATAATAGAACTTCCAGACAGTAAGTAATTCAAATATTCTATATACACTCAACAAAAACTTCTTGTGCATGTTTTGCTGAGCAGACAAAGCTAAAATTGCAAAGCACTGACACCGGGTTCTCTCTTCTTTTTGAACCACTTTGAAAAATATTGGTCAAGATATAGTGCACAGGCATGGGGAAAGAAATATTTCAAAAAAAAAAAAAAAAAAAAAAAAAACAGCATAAGCAGTGTGTTTTTCTTTTTATCAAAATCCATCAAAAACACCTGCCTTTCCTAAAAAGGTTAATGGCGATTTCTGGATCAAAACAGAAATACATTTGCTGCTTAATGAATAATTCTGACTTTCACTCTAATGAACATGAAAATACTAACTAGTTGACTGAGGTATAGTTGAGTCCTTCAAAATTTAGGTTATATAGACTTGAGCAATGTAGCAACAGAGACTGCACAAAACAATCATACTGATATTAGAAAAGCCTGTAGTACCCAGCATCTGATGCCTAGGCAAAACATACCATTTATCATCACCCGCTTGTCTAAAGCAAAATATAGCTAAAAAATCCCAGTAAAACATACAGCTGATTTGCACGCTAAGATACAGCACAGTTTTCTGTCTGACAAAGCAGACTGTACACAGAAATAGGTCTATATTGACCAAAAGTTAGCACACTGATAAAGTGCAGCCACTCAGCCATTTAATACTGCTGGAGAACAGGGGTGGGGGCAAAACAGAGAGAGAAATCTGCGTTTTACCTTATCCATAAGACCACATGAAATTAGAATTCTTCAGTTTCAGCAGGGGACAACAAAATTGCACTAAATTCTTCTACAAATAGAAAAAGATGAACTTTACATGAACATTAAGCAAAGTGAAATATTTACTGCATCTTTTTATCATGCATAAAGTGAATTTCCTATGGTCTTACCTCACATTTATGTACAGTTTAGCACAGCTAAATGTAAGAAAATAGCAAGTTCCCCTCCCACCCCCAATACAGAACAGATACCCCAATTCGCTGCTGCTTCAAGAAGCACTTCATAGACTCTACTACTTACAGGCTCTTTCAAAGGGAAGTTCATGGAGACTAATATTGAACATACATTTAACCACACAGTGAAGACAGGAAAAACAACACAAAGCATTCTGTAAACGGTGCCAAACACAGAACATGTCAGTTTTGGTTTGCAGACAACCCCTGAGATAAAAATCAAAGTATTACGACACCAACTAAGTCAGAGGTAAATTACTGAAAATAAACAACATTCATAATTGGTGTCACAACACTTTCTGTATAGAAGCACTTTTTTTTTAAACCATACAGAAAGCATAACTGCTTTAGCCTGTCCAAGAAAAACATCAAGGGTAGACAACTGAGCAGTTAGGGTTGCTTTGTTTTTCCACTAAACCTTGTTGCCATTATGATTTTTTTCTTTATTTTTTATTTATTTATTTTAAGTGCAGCAACAGAAGGTTGAGATTCACCATCTAATTAAAGTAACTATTTCCATGAAACTAAATGTGGCGACAGGTTGTTAACCACCCAAAACTTTATGGAACCAGCTACTAACATTAAATATTTTCAAATCAAAAGTCTTCACATCTAATGCTCTTGGCCTGTTCACTTTCAAAGTATTTCTAACGGACCCAAGATGACAAATTCAGCATCTGACACCACAAATGAAGCAGTTATCTGCAGTAGCAACCAATTCACTGTATGCAACTTGAGATAACGCAGTGAAGCAAAAGCAAACACGTCAGAGACATTACTCGGACAATGACAGAATCCACCTATCCCCTAATAACAAACATACTGGACACAAACTTGTAGTTAAAGCTTACAATGGTCCAAGTTTGGCACATGAACAGAACTAAAGCACCTGTTTTAATCACTCATTGAGGAAATTTTTCAGAAGACAATAAAAAAGTAGTAGAACAAAGACTAGGTTATACAATGCTCAGTTGAGTAGAAAAGGCAACTAAGTTTCAACTCTGCTTCTAACAGTCCAGGTCACTGTACCAGTTCGTGATGAAAAAAGTTTAACTGCTTGAGCAGACCAAAGAGGGCTTCATACATTCAGAATAAACTACATAACTAATATTACATTATAGCCCTAGTGTGACATTTTCCACAGTGCCAGAACTTGAAAAACTTCAGTAACTGCACAGGAAGCTAGCTTTTGGATACCTCTGTTGCCAAGGGCCAATACTTACAGACATTAACAGACTATCCTTAGTATTACACTAGAAATCAAAGTCACCTTTAGAGCAGTCATTTCTGAGCAAATGAATCCACAAAGCAATTATTCAAAACTCATGCATTCAGGTTCCACAAGCCACTTAAGTGATAGTGATGAGGCCAATTTGTGATGATGACTTCAACTCCAGAGTGCACTTCCTCATCAGAAACAAAAAAGGTGCAGACAGTTTGAGCTACCAAAGGAAGTTAAGTGAGGAAAGACACTGTGTTTATTAAAATAACTGAAAGGTGCATATGTGAAATCAGACAGTGACTGGCAATTCAGAACACAACTTTGCTAAGTCTGGTAAAGAAAGAAAAGCAACATACTACATTCAGAATACAAGCCATGGCTTCTGCATGAACAGATTTGTGCATCTAAGAGAAAAAACCCATACAAATTATTAAATGTCAATTGTTAGAGTAATTCTCATCATTAAGAGTGACAACATCCATACTGCAGTCATGGCCGTAAATATACAGCAAGGAAAATAATGGAAGTGAGACTTTCTGTCCCACGGCTGTTCTGCTTTAAAATAATAAATTTGTTTAAAAAAATAAGGGAAAAACCTGCACAAATCTGTTAAGAATCTTACTTACAAGTCAAACTGTGCAAATACAAATGTAAGATTGTGCTGTAACAGGCAGTAAGAGGCTAATATGGATGTGCAAAGTTAAAAGAAACATAGCAGCTTTTGCAACAGGCAGTAAAACAGAAAGTAAAAAAGGAAAACAAGTTAACTCTTGCATTTGTGTCTCCACTTCATAGCTTCCATATCTGAGAAAGAGTAGCCTGACAGGTCAATAGGCTTAGTGAGCAAAATCCACTTGGTATTTTGTGTATCGCAGTCTACGTTCAATGGAGCTCTCAGCAGCAGCTTGGTGGTATTATTTCTGAGGCTTTGTGACCCTGTGCTTTCAAAGAAGCAGAAAAGGTTCTAAGTGTGCTGCAGTCTATCATTAGAAGTTCATCAAAGTAGCGTGCATCGAAAGAAGCTGCTCTTCTTAGATCGATTTTCTGTTATTTTTACTGGCCCACCTGCCCCTGACGAACTGTTGTCATTCTGAAAAAGAAAAAAGTATCATAAAATTCAGGAAAAAAACAACTTCAGCTTTCCTAGTTTCCCCCTACACTTCCTCCCAACACACACACACACAAACAATAACCGAGAGCAGTAGTTTGTTACCAGACTGTTAATAACTTAATAAAACTGCCTATTTTTACAAGAAGCATTTATCTAGCAATCCAAATCTCAATTATTAGCTCAGGGATTGACTACAGTTTGACATTGAATAAAGTAAGGATCATACTGTTACACTGACAAAGAACACATGTTTCAGGCTGCTCAGTAAAAACAAACAAACAAACAATAAAAACAATTTCACACAAATGCACAATCCCCAGGAACTTTTTGATAGGACTTCAAACAAGCCAGTTATTTTAACTGTAATTTCAGTATATCTAATTTGTATGATAGTTGGAAATACAAACCATTTTTCTGTTGAGCTTTGTCATAATGTCCCGTGCAAGCGTGAAAAAAGCCTGGTGACAGAAATAAAAAAAATAGGAATCAGTCACAAGACACATTAAAAGACAGGATATATTTGGAGTAGTCTGGCATGCAAACAATAGAGTATTCGGTAGGCCACTTAGCACTTCATATTGCAAGGCACCGTGTTTAACACTGACTGCAACAAGCATGCTTTAAAAAAATAATTTCCATCTTTCTCAACTTTGAAGCAAATGAACAGACTTTTCCCATTGCCTACTTATTGGGCAAAAACTATCTGATGAATAGAAGGCTGCATACATTAATTTATTTATTTTTGGCTAAGCTGTATGGTACATCACAACTAGAAACCTACACAGAGTTTTGAGGCTGGCATGCCTGGGAATTCATATCAAAGTCAGCTTTCTTTCTGTCCTCCAAAAGCCTTACCCATGGGTTACCTATAGCCTTTTCTTTATGCTTCTAACATTCCTTAAGGAGGGGAACATTAAAAAAATAAAATAAAATAAATCACTCTGGCAAACCTCAGCATCTCAGTCTTCAACATACAAAGGAGAAGGGAAACTTCTGTAGCAGGAAAATGCTGCAATTGTCCCAGAATCAGTAAAAAGGAAGATTTTAGGATTTTTTTACCCGGAGATATCAATACCCCAAAGACAGTTCCATAAATGGAGAAAATGTAAATGTGTTCTGAATACACCCAAAGACACATGTTCATTTAATGCAAATGAATAATAATAAAGTATTGATCCCAACAGCATCACAGTTCAGCATTCCCCACAAGTTAAACATTTGGTGGAAATAAAAAGAAATTGTTACTTGCTAAATGCCTATACCAGCCACATTTATGTTTTCCTCACAATTCATGCAACAATTTCCAAAAATACTCAGGTAGCCAAGTCATTTGGAGTAGTCACAAATTAATTTAATTCAACTCCTATGGGAGTCAAAATGAAATTGCAGGGCATGCCATGAAACAGCAAATCAGCCATCTGGAAGAACTAATGAAGAAGATGTGTACTTTTATTAGGAGACTTGCTATCCACCATTGGTATTATTTGCTAATGTTCACACTTCTACTGTCTGCTATAAGAATGACACTGTGACCATCAGGTCAAGCACTATTTCTGATGCAGAACAGTGCCACTAAGTGTATTCTAAAAAATATTGTATTGCAACCTTCCTGCAATTAGAAAAAAAGGTTTTGCTGGCACAGTACTGGTCATGTTAGTATACAGTAACAATCTCTTTTGTTAATGTCAGCTGGACAATCTGAATTAAGTACATGTTTAGAGGACTTTTAAAACGTATTCCATCAATACAAACTGAAAGGCTTTTAGACCATTGAGAATGACATTCAAAAATGTCTGCCTAATCTGAATGAATACATCTTAATGTAACTTCTTCCTTTTTGTATCATACCATTTATTTGTCTACTCTTTTCATAGTTAGCATCCTCCCTCAACCCTCCCAGAGATGAGGATAGTTGTTCATGATAAAATAGATTTGAGTTGAGCTACTTTTCCTTCCAATTCTATTTCCTTATGCTCTCACAAATAGCAAGATGGTGTTTTTAGCACAGTATTTATTTGTAGGAAAACAGATTCTATAGGTCTAGAGTCTATAGGCTGAGTATTACTTGCTTTCTTCCTCCTCTAACATCAACTTATGACAGTCTATGCTGATGTTCCAGGTTTACATACAAATCTTCAGTCTCATCTACACAGCATATTTAGTAGTAACCTGAAGGCTCATTGACACAGTAGCACATTATTCTGGAAGTAAAGAAACTTGCATCTGATTTCCTGCACAAAGCTTTGTTCTAAAATTACACCTATTCCCTGCCCAAAGGCACTTGCAATTGAAACCTAAAAGAACTGTTTGTTACAATAATAGCACTGTTATCAGCCATTTAAAAACAATTCTGGGTATTACCAGAAAACAAGAAATGCTAGGTTTTAAAATAGCTTTCTAAATAGAACAAGATTGGTGACCCAGGAGCACAGTTGTGATTTCAGGTCAGTAAGCCCAGTAGTTACAGATCATAACATGCCACTACAGTAATAGTTCATAAAACATACTTAAGCATATAAACAGCTATCTCTTACCTCTTCCACATTTATGCTGGATTTTGCACTTGTCTCCAAAAATTTGATTCCATAATCAATTGCTAACTGTAAGAGAGGTTAACATTTTTCAGTTAATCTGAAGCTCCTTTGCAAAAGGAATGTTCTACATAAGCTCATGATAGAACAGGTATTGTAGACTGCAGCAAGTTTTAAAAAACAAAGCTTAGTTTCTGCTTTTCTCTTACAAACATTAAAGTTACTGGACAATTAGAGAAAATATTAAAGCATTCCATATCTTCATGTAAATTCAAAACCTACAAAAATATTAATTTGTCACAAAGACTTATTTAGGACCCAAAAGCTCACTGAGATAGAATCTTCATTGATATGGATATGTTGACGAGGTGACTACATGCAACCACCCCTCAAGCAGTGTAACTAGCAACTATACTATTGCAGCTGCATACATGATGACGTTTATCGTATAGTAATCTTACTCATTTGCTCTGCAGAGCAACTAATTACATTAGCTTTAATAACAGTACCTATGAGAAGAGTACGACCATGGTGAATCGGGTACAATCTGATCAAGCTACATACAAAGCTTTATATTGGACTTACAATATTTTATACTATTGCAAAGGTCGGCATTATTTACAGGTTCTTCCCCACAGGACAAGAATAATGTTAACATTATTAAACTGTTAACATTATTAACTGTTAAACAGTTAAGTGCTATTTAAAAAAAAAAAAAGCCTGCATCTTATATAAAAAAAAATCTTAAATGGAGGTGTGAGGCTCATTATCTCTCATATACCTAAAGAGAGCAAATACCCAGTAGCAGAAATCCTAAGAACAGTTCGCTTCCAAGTAAATTAAGTCAACATAAAGCTTACCTTCTCTCCTTTTTCTTTTGAGACTTGTCTTTTTTCATTCATATCACATTTGTTACCCAGGATCATTCTTTCTACATCTGAAGAGGCATGCTGGAGAGGGGAAAAGGTAATCTTTTAGAGCAAATTAAATCATGATTTACGAGAAATTTTTGTATGTCAATCTCATCCACAAATAAGTATTTTCTTTTCAAAAAATTATCTAATGTAAAGGCATTACTGAGAAAGGGACTGACTTTTGAAAGAGGCAATCTAATATTCAACTATTAAAATAGGTTGGATAAAGATTTCCACATTCAATTTGCGTATCATCACAAATCAACTACAGTGCCACAAACTGCACCACTTTGCATGCATACACAGGCATTTGGATATTCTGGAAGTATCTATGCACCACTTTGAAATAAAGTGTGTACCATTAACATTATTTGGTTAAGGTATCATTACACAACGTATTTGTATTTTTAAAATAGATTACTAATAAATGTCTAAGTTGTAATCACAAAGTGAACTTCAACAAGAACACCTTTCTAGCCCGGTCTCTATTGGGTCAAATTGGTCACTTCGACAATACTCTTGCTTAGACAAAGAATAATACTTAAAAAAAAAAAAAAGCCTATGGAATTTAGACTGGGTTGGGGGAACATACACTAGAAAAACAACAACAAAGAAATGAGAGAACAGCAAGATTCTGTTACCAAACTACAGCTTCACTAAAATTAGGGCTTCTCCTCTAACTTCATAATGACCTCATGACCCCTCCCTACTTGACAGCATGTCCTGTTAAATAATTTACAATAGGGCTAGCAGGAAGGAAGCTTACTGAAGACCAAATGAAGAGAACAAAAATCTTTAATTCGACAAACACACAACACAATAGCAACTGAAAACACACAGATCTGTCATCTTAGTGCAAGGCTGACACCTTATAATCTAGTTCCTTCCCATTCCTTAGACAAACCCAAAAGCAAGAAAGAGCAATAAAAGCCATAAGAAGAGCATTTTCAAAAAACTTTATGCAATTCCTTTCACTGTATAGTCTAACTTGGCCACATATGTTGGCAGCTATTGTGAAATTGAATTATTTGATTATTATTTTTCCCAGGGAATTCATAAGATAGAACGAGTAAGAAGTACTTTCCAAAGTACCTACCTCCTCAATGTTTCTTATCCAGTTTTTTATGTTGTCAAAAGACTTCTCATTTGTTATGTCATACACCAGCATAATTCCCTAAATAAAGAAAATCTTGTTAGATGAGGTAGCAACGTTAGTTGACTTCGATGTATGCTGTTAGTTTGATTATTCTTGAAAAAAATTTGACACAGGACTTAACACCTACAAACAATAACCATTTCTTAAAGCTTTATGCATTTGCTGAAGATTCACCCAAAATATTACTATTTAACATCTCGTGGCACTGCTAGATAGATTAAACACACTAATAGAAAGCTTTAAATTACTAGCCTATAGTCAGGAAGAGTTCGCAATCTCTACTACAGCAGCAAGCAGGGGACTTCAATGCTCACATCAAGTTTAGAAGCAGCAACCCTAAGCAATCAAAGGATAACAAAACCTGTGAGATTCAGCCTGCTGGGGCCAGTGTTATCCTTTCTGAAAGAATCTACCAGGTGCTCTCGCAGAAGCTATAGCTCTTTCAGAGAACAGTGATGTATGTGAACTAGCATGGACTTTCAACAAGCAACATACCATATGGAACCACACAACAGCTGTATTAAGGACAGATTGCCAGGTTCACCTCCGTTTCTTATTGTCTGTCCAATCATTCCTCAAAAGACAAAGTAGTCTTTGGCCATGAATGCTCTACCAGAGACGCAATCGCTACTGTTTTTTCCCCACCTACATTCTGTAATAGTGGGTTTATCTGGACACACAGCCAGCCTAAGTATGAATGGATCTGTTTGTAAAAGGTGATGAGAACACACAGTAGCAGCAGAGCTAGTCAACTGCAAGCTTAAATTAACAGTCTCCACCTCAAGCATCTCAAATCATAGCATTAAGAGTCATTACACGTCGATGTACCACAAAGAGTTCAGGCTCCAAGTGAGGTATTTGACTTCGAGTCATTATTAATGAAGGAAAAAGTAACATTAGCTTTTGTAGGTGATCGCATTTCTAATCCAGATTTTGCATTGTCTACCAGCTGAAGGTAATGAAGAGCAGAAGGAAAAGCAGCTCAGTGACAATACATTCTTGGTATTAAAATAATTTTTTCACCTACTTTTCAAAACACTTCAAATGTATAAAGGGTTGATTGTATTTAAAAAATTATCTTTATTAAACCATGACTATTTAGCTTCTTAACTACACTCTGCAGAAATTGTAATCACATTAAAAAAGGCTTCAAGTTTCACCACAAAAAAACAGGACTAGATAAAGTACCAGCAGGTTTAAAAAAATAAAACACTTTATTCCCCATGGTCCAAGCAACAATTACCCAATTCTCCAGCTGAAGACTTACATGATGTAATATGAAGAGCAGCGAACCAGTTACACTAGTTGTACATAAGCTTTGTCAAATAAGAGCACTCACCATGGCTCCTCTGTAGTAAGCTGTTGTGATCGTGCGGAATCTCTCCTGGCCTGCTGTATCCCTAAAATTCAGTGAAAACAAACATTTGATTGAGGTGGTCTTTACACTTTTGAGTACTTGGAAAAGCCTTTTAAAAACAGAACAACAATGTATTGATACTGACTCATTAAAGAAAAATACAATTTAGAAGCTATTTGCACAAGTTTCTTCAGGCCTCACTTCAGCATCTTCACTTCCAAGCTATCATACTTTTATCAGTGGCACCATAAATATGGCATAAAAGCATTTACATTTTCATTCACATGTTAAACAGCCTTTCCTAGAATTAACAAAGGCAGTTCTGATGCATCCGAGTCCTGCATTTAATAAAATTTAAAACACGCAGTAGTAAAATATTTTGGGTTAATCGATTTTCACATACTGTTATTTATTAAAACCAGCCACTATAGCTTAGTGTGCCCTTTTTTTTTTTTAATATCCTAGATAACTTCAAAGCAGTATCTGTCTGCAAGTGAACAACAGAACTAACAAATCTGGATACTAGTCAGACCTACAGGATGTTAAATCCAAAAGGGCTGGGGAAAAAAAAAAAAGCTAACACCTTTTTGACTTACATCACCAATACAAAATTCATACCAACCACTTCTGGCACTTCACTTCCTCAGTCACAAGAACTTTGGCTTGCATGCAAGTATCACAGCTATCTTTGCCAGAACTTCAGATATCAGCAAGAGCCCTACATTCACCAGTAGCATTTTAAGGGTTTGGCATGTGTAGTAATGCTATTCCAAGTACCTGTCTACTGTTATCAGTAGTCTCAGCCTCTGCTAAACCACCATGCAAGAAATGGGAGCATTATCACTCACCTCTGCCTTTATGAGTATAACTAGGTATTAAAGTATCAAAGAATTCAGATTATATTTTATTAGGTCTCATTTTCTGGTTTATAACTATGTAATTAATACTTCTCTTCCACATGGAAAAACTAAAAGTGCATTTAAGAGGACAGCTTTTGATAAAATGGGAAGTTGCTATAACACTAGCATGTGAACAGGCGATTTCCTGCGCTAATGAAACACAGCCACTCAAAGAACAAGCTAGAAGAAATCACAAGACTTAAAGGCAATAAATAAAAGGTATGAAACTTCTGGTACAATCATGCTCAAAAGTTACCAAGTATTCCTGCTCCAAGTATTCAATACTAGTGAATACAAAGCACTCAATACTCACTCAAAACTTAAATTACTTTGAAGTACTTACCATATTTGTAGCTTGATTTTCTTTCCATCTAATTCTATTGTTCTGATCTTAAAGTCAATTCCTGCCAGAGAAAAAAACACTCTGAATTTTGCAATAAATGAAAAGGAAGCATTCAATTTTCTCTGGGCAATTTGGTAAGAGCAAATGTAGGGAAAAAAAATATTTCTGAAATGGTCATTTCTTGCACACACTAGGAAGTGAGAGATACACGTCCTCTACTTTATCCAAAGTATCACAATTATTCTCCTTAATGAAAACGCACCAAGTTCAGAATCACTGATAAAATTGGTCAGGATTATGGGAAGATTTAATCTCAAAACTTGTCTGTTTTTCTCCAACAAGGTCATTAGTTTGAACGTGTATTTTTCTCAACTTTTGACTAGTCCCTACAATTAAATTAGAATCCCTAGGACATCTGCTAGCTCTGAGAAAAAATAATATACTATGGCTCTTCAGTTGCTTTTCTTGCAACACTTTATGTAAGCCAGCCAGACATCACAGTCAAGTGCAAAGGATCACAGGAAATAAAAGCTATACAGATAGTTACTGAAGATGACCAAAGCAAGGATATCAAGGATACCAGTGTAGGAATAACTCAGATTTTCTAGACAGCTTCAGAAACGATCAAGAAAGCATTTCTCTCCTTTGCCCCCTTACTCTTCCAAATGGTACCCATCAGTTCTATGATTGATTTGGAAGACTGATTTTAAGTGGTGGGGAGCAGAGAGAAGGAATTAATTCAGAAGAGCTTAATATCTCTTAAGGCTTAGAGGGATCATCAAATTAATTTATGAAGCAAGGACAAGATTTCCAAACAGACTAGCATTTTAATTATGCTATTTTAACTTTTGCATATCTAAACCTTTACTATAATACAACTCAAATTGAGATCGCTCAAATTGCACTGTCTGACTGATTCTTGAATCCCAGGGCAGTCTCCTTCCCTAGTTAATCTGATTTGAAGTTAATGGCCCATTTTTCTTTCACTGGATCTTAAACAACTACTTGATATCTAAACATAATCTGTAGAAGACACTTTTTTTCCCCCCCCTTCTCCTTTCTCCTCTTTTCTGAAGTGTAATTTAAATGGCAATTATCAAGAGTATCTTAACTGGGAGAATGCTGTTTCTAGCTTCATTAATTTATCCACAGCTTAAACAGGAAGCACTGGAAATAAGCTACAATATTTTTATTTTAATTTACTATAATAGCATTTGAACATGAAATACAGACATTCATTAACTACTTGACTTTCATTCTTCTCGCATGTGATATTAATATTTTAATATCCTGAAAATACTAAGTTTCAACTTTCAAATATTGATGTGCTATGGATACACAGTCTGGCCCATTAGTTAGAATGCACATTATCAGCAGAAACAGAACATCAGCACTTTTAAAACCATATGAAATTAATTGCATTGATTTAAAATGCTAAGACTATTGCCATAATCATAGTTTCTAAAGATTCACTAGTGTATGTACAGGCAGAAAGATCTTTTCATTAACCTGCATTCTTCCAAAAAATAGCATAGGTATGATGCCTATTCACAAAAAAAGAAACCTTACAGTACGGAACAGAAGTTTGGAAAGTGTTTCCATTCTACATGTATGTTTAATGGAATTTTGTGTCTTGTTGTAAAGATTTTTCTAAATAGGTGCAACACCTGCTGAAATCACACTTAATTGTATTTATGTCTGAAAATGAATGACCTTGACTTTCTTTTTGGCCTCAATGGTGATAAAAGCACAAATACAAGTGTTGTTATTTGTCGTTGTTTTGCTTTTTTTTCTTTCTGTAAAGAGTATTGTATCATGGACAGCAAGTTAAATGAGTTTAAAAGGGCTCATTTATGTCTGGGCCTGAAGTCTTAGCATTGAGAATAACAACAGTCGGGAAAAGTAGGTTCAGAGACTATCACAGTTTCAAGATACACATACTGTAAACTACTGAAACTAAGACACATCAGTGTAAAGAGTAAGAGACTCCTACAGGGATGGTTTTCTGAAAAAGTGAGCTTACACTGCAGTTAGGTATCTATGTGCACCAGTCCATGCCTTGCACGGAGTGGTTTCTTGTGGTTAGTCATTTCCCTTACAGCACCAACAAGATTTATACAACCACTCCTTTGATCACTTCTAAAATTCAGGATATGCCCAAAAAATAGCTTCTCAGAACTTAAGACTTCTAGTAGGAACTTTACCAAAATTCTTCCTGAATAAAGACAAATTTCAAAGCTAAAAGAAAAGCAAAGCAGAAAGCCATAAATATCTGTCACAATACAAAGAAGTTTAACAAATGCAACTGCAACTTTTTAAGAGGCTAAAATGAACTAGAAACTGAAGTTTCTTTTGTTCTTTCCCTTCAGTAACAGGAAGTGGTGAGCTGCACACATTCATAGAGCAAGCCTAGTGACATGTGCTACCACTTCCTGCTAAGGACACTTGCATGGCCGAGTATGAACAACATTTTGGTTACAGAGTTAAATTTAAATTATGCCACATAAAACATTTGAATGGCATTTTAAAAGTAATTATTGACAGAGGAGAATTTCCTTTATCAAACAATTCTTACTTTGTACATAATCACATAGTGGGATACAAGAGCTTGAAACGATGCTCGGGTTTAATAAATAATAATTAATTTGATTGCAAAAGATCACAGAAATCCCAGTTTTAAAATGCAATACCCAATGGTCTTCTATCCAAAAGCATGAAAACGCCCAGAATCATTTGGATGTACATCTGAAATTGTTTCATAAGTTTCTACAAAATACAGACCTAGACTCCTTCTTCGGATGCAAAGGCAAACAGGATAATTCCCTTTAATGGCCAAAGTAGAACTGCCACACAAAACAGCCTGATACCAGTATTTCCACCTAGCAAGTCCATAGATATTAGACACGGACTGAAGAACATCTATTGCAGGAATCACAAGCTTCCAGTTGGCAGGGAGGTCTGAGTTGAGAGCTGAATCATGTTTTAGTTTGGACTATAGCTGCTTGCATTTCCACTGTAGCATGGGTTTAGAATAGGGTTTACTGCTCTTCCAAATCATTTTCAGATCCTTGCTAACTACAGACCAGGGATGCATCTTCTCACTTTACTGAAGATGAACGTATTTTCTTCCACAACTTCCAACAAAACTGTCAAGAATACGTTCACACAACAAGAAACTTGTGCACTACGAAGAGTCAGTATCATTAGTGCCATACAAAGACTTGCACGCAAAAACAGGAGAGTTGCTTGTTGCCGCATTTACCTTGAATCACTATGCAAAGCTCGTAGTGGTACCAGTGGTTTTCTACTGCAAACCTGTATGATGCAATTCTTGCAAGACTTTGAGAATGGTCTGAGCAGAGGCGCTGAAACAGTTTATTATGCTACTTTAGTTTCTGGAGCAGCAGCTTACTCTCAAGGCATAACTGTTACTCCTGCTCTCCCCTCAGTTGACTTTAACCTGACAGAGTTAACGTTTCAGGTTTTTCAGTGCTACAGGAGCAGTTTGTGCTGGGTCCACACTACAACTTTTCCCTGTGTTGCACCACTGTTTGGGCTTACAGATTTTGTTTTGTTTCTTCTGTTAAAAAAAAGTCTTGCAGAAAATGCTCCAACATAACGAAACCAAAACAAAGTATTCTGGCTGGAGAAAGTTAACTATTAAAACCAGCAAATAATTTCTGCAGGTAAAGGCTTCTTTGGTCTTCAGTCTGCTTACAAAGAAGGCAGTGGAAGGGTCATATTCTTGAATTATACAAGCCGTTAAAAGACAGGAAAAAAAAAAAAAGAATCAACAAGCACACCCAAATACTGTGAAAAAAAAAACAATTTAGTAGCCATTAGCTGTATATTAGCTACACATTATTGGCTACATAGTAGCCATTAGGTACATATTAGAATCCTTCCTTTTATCTATATTACATAGTTATCCAGTATTTTAGCTTAATTTGACATGCAGTTTGCAGTGCTGGACCTCACACATCAGAAAGCTACATCAGTTGACAATTCTTGTCGATTTGAACTCAAGTTTAATTAATAGGTTTCCTATCTCACTCAGTCCATATAGTCTGTATATTTATGTCAACTAACTTATTTTGGGTGTGCAGCTATAGTAACAAATTAGCCAGGAAATTAAACCATGCAGGGTGCAAATAAATGTCAATCTGTGATAGCATACAGTAGACTGTATATCTACTACAGTACAGTATTTCTCCATCTCTGACAAAGCAAGATGCAACTTATAAAAAAAAAAACAACAAAGTATAGCAATTAAAAAGTTGTTTTGTTTTTTTTTAATATCCAAAAAAAGGGAATTTAAAAATAAAGGTGATTTAAAGAGGTGAAGGTCTTCTTTTGGCAAGAATTGGCAAAGCAGCAGTGAAAAATTAATACATGGCTTGCTTGCTAGAAAGAGTCTCATTTCAGACTGTCAAAGAATGTACCACACTAACAAATCTTATTTACCCCACTAAAAACTAAGAGACCTACCTTGCATGATGAGCATGTAATAAAAAAAAAACAACAAAAACAACACTCTCTTAAATAAGTTACCATCCTACTTATCTTGTCTTACTCTTCTGAAGTAAGAGCAGAAGTAGTAAAAAACAAAAACCTAAAAGGAAATTAGATTTTTAGAAAAAGATTTTTCCTATGGCTGTGACACTTATCACCGTTGGACACAGGTCACAGTCAAAATGAGTTCATTGTAAGACAGCAAAAGGAGTCAAGGTACAAAGTCTCCTTATCCTTTTTGAGCATTAGACCAACTGGAATTTACACATCAACTTTCAAGCTGAGCTTTCTCCAGCTACACAGTGACTACGTTGCATAGATGAACATCCGAACCAGTTAGCTGTAGGAAGTACCAGCAGGGATTGCTATTTTCTGTTCTCAGCAGTAGGTTTGGGATTAAATGCACAACTTTTTTTTTTTTTTTTTTTTAAAGTGGTGTTTTCAAGGGATTGTTTGAATGTTTTATTGCAATACATCAGTGCACTCTCTAAGTCTATAAAGCCTCAGAAAGTTGCATTCGTATTAGATATTTCTTGAAGGATTTCAGTA